GAGGATAAGCGCGATATCCTTTGCTTCTTTCGTCATATCATTGGTTCCGCCGATCCGCCGGCCCATTAATCCCCAGCTCGTTTCTCAATCCAGCCGCCTTCTCGGGGGACCGTTCGCCCCGCGCCGGGAAAGGTGGACGAGGTGGCGCGCGATAGAAGGGACTCGAAATTCGATTCGAAAAATCGGCGAAAACGTCAAGAGCGTATATGGTCCTCCCCACCTCCCTCTTCCGCTCTCGCGGTCCGTACCAAGATCGTATTTCGGAATAACGCATCACGGTAATTTACCATATAATCATCTCGTTTGGTTAAAAAAAAACATCCCCTTCCGTCTCTTCTCCTCTTCCCTCCCCCTCTTCAATCTTCCCCCCCCCCCTCCTCAAGAATTTATCATATATTATATTCCCGATGCTAAGATATCACGCGTTTGTCCCGTAAAGATCCGCTTGTGTATAGTCGATGTATCGGCAGAAGAACGTCGAAGAATATGGCGAGTTCTTGACCGGTCTGCCTTCTCCCTCTCTTCACTTCCCCTCTCTCGCGGAGCCGTCGAGTGACGACCAAAGACGGTAGGAAGGTACGGTTTCCGGTCGCCCACGCGACAATCTAGTCGGGGCTCTCTCCTTCTCTCTCTCCTTTTCTCTCATCGGCTCTGGCGTCGTTGTGAAAATCCTCTCGATTCAGGTGTATAGATAGAGCGCTTAGGAGCGGTAAGTCTGGCGCAACAACCCGCTACCGTAGTGGGGCGCGATGGGGGTCTAATATTTGCGTATCTCCGCCGTGCGACGCACCCGTCCTGTCCCGTCGCACGGTGTGAAATTTGTCTACTCCGAGGAGGGCAAATTTACCTGGCCGCGCATAAACCCAGACAAAATATTTAATTTCGTATAATAACTTTACGATTATGTACCTTTTATACACGTGGTTCGAGTTCCTTCATTTCTTCCATTTTACTCCCATACATAGATGCTTTGTGTCTCCTGATCTCGTACACGTAAATGAGAAATAAAGAAATCACAGATTCGGCGAATTTTATTTTAAGAAATAAAAAAATTAATTTAAAAAAAGACTTGTAATGAAAGAATTGTTTGACTTAGAGATTCTAACAGGTAAATTATGTCGCTATGAAACGAAGCGAAGTGCAATCAAACTTCTTTAATTTCAATATTATTGCCATGGAGCAAACTTTCTATTCTCTCTATTAATGTTCTAATGATTTAACAATCTCGTGTATATTAAATCAGTAACTTTTTACTTTGAGAGATATTCGCGAGTATGCTTTACTCGATTTCCCGATACCTCGACGAAGTGGCCGTCATGAAGGCACGTGGGCGACCGGAAACCATCCCTCCCACATTCGCGTGCCCTACCTCCTCAAAGGGAGTGTTAAAGAGAAAGAGATTCATGAAGCGCGAGGAAGGTTGGGAGAGGAGGAGAAAATTATGAAGATTCGCGTGGATCTAGAAATGGACACGTGGAATCGTAAGTTTAGCGTTTCGCGAGAATCACAAGAACGAGGTAAGAACGGGAGTAAAGAAAAGAACAAGAAGTAAATGGAGAAACACGGTGCGCAAGAAAGAGCGTAAGAAAAACAAGGGGAAAGGGAGTAAAGAAGGAAGGACAGTAAGATAAAAAGAACGGGAACGATGGGACGTGGAAAAAAACGAAAAACGAACGGGTAAATAAAGATCGACCCGTCTCCCACGCTCGTGA